CCCCCCCCCCTCCAGGCTCTCTTCTGTTGGTTTTCACACTCTTAGGGGAGGACGGAGAACTCATCCAGGACGTTTCACTGGTCTGGAGTCCACCTTACAGACCCCCCCCCCCCCCCCCCTAAAGAGGGGGGGGGGGGGGGGCTCAGACTCCCAAAACAGGAGCCCAGACCTGCTCCTGCTACAGATTTCACACCCAATAAAATCCGTTTGGAGGGAAGATTCTGGTCCCTGGTGGCTCGTTTTTGCTTCGTAATCGTTTGTTTGGGGGACGCTGAGTTTAAACGAGTCAGTTTGGGGAAAAATGACCATCAGATTACCAGAAAGAACCTTAAATACACCTGGAAATATTTTCCACCAAAAGGGCAACAGATCAAGTCTAGATAACAAAAGAAAGCTACTTAAAGTCAAAGAACTAAATTATTAAATGACAAAAAACGAGATTTCCCATTAAACTTGAAGTAAATTGTTTTGGAGGGAAGATTCTGGTCACTGGTGGCTTGTTTTTGCTTCGTAATCGTTTGTTTGGGGGATGCTGAGTTTAAACGAGTGTTTTTGGGGGAAACTGACCATCAGATTACCAGAAAGAACCTTAAAATCAGCATTAAATGTGTCGACTGAACCAAATATTGGGGGGAAAAGGAAGGAATAAAAGCAGAAAAAAGCCTGGCTGTGAAGCATTGTGGGTGTTTTCCACCAAAAGGGCAACAGATCAAGTCTAAAAGAAAGCAACTTAAAGTCAAAGAACTAAATAATTAAATAACAAAAACTGAGATTTCCCTTTAAACTTGGAAGTAGATTGTTGCCAGGATCCAAGTGGTTTGTGGCTTTTGGTATAAGTTTGATCAAATCTGGGACAGAACTAAACACAGATTGGAGCTTTAATATTTAACATCCCAAATTATGGTAAAATGTTATTTAATTTCTTCACATTTCTGAATCATGAAGTTCCAGAAAAAAACTACTAAAAATAAAATGAATTAATTTATCAGAACTCCTCTGATTTCATTATAATATTCATCACCAAGTAAAATAAATGGAGTGTAAATTCTATCTGGTAAAAATCAAACAAAAATAATCGGTTAAAGGTCGAACTTTTTCAGACGAGTTGCAGTTAAACCGGAAGTGAGCCGTTGCTAGGAAACAGGTGGCTGCTTTGTCAGCTTTCGGTAAATATTTAATAAAATATGAAGTAACAAAAATGCCGAAATAGCTTTTTATAGTTCAAATAAATAGTTGTGGGATTTGAATGTGAACCCTTTGACTTGATACTGAATATACGACAGATTTCTTAGTCAAAATAAAAATAAAAAGCCCTTTTCAGACAAAGAACTGTAACCTGCGGGACTCAACTGGAATTCCGTAGATTTATTATTTTTCTTTACATCAAATTAATTCAGTGACAGTTATCAGTACCTTTAATGGTTAATATGAAAATAAAAAGCGTTAATGTTAATTCGGCGTGCTTAAATCTAAAATGTAAACAGAATAGGCTTTAATCTAAACAAATATCTACTCTATTTCCGACGGGGTCTCGGGGCTAAACACATATATACAGAACATATATTTTTTAATTCAATAAAAAAGATGTCCACACATCCTTTATCTATCTGGGACACTAACAGATCATGTTAGCACTTTAACAGCCTGCAAACTGACACCAGAGCAAATAGCTGTTTTGGAACTTCCGGGTTCAGACACCTGACGAGAACGAGACGTGACGTCAGGCAGGTGTAAAAAGCTCCGGGGGAAAAAGGTGATTTACTCTAATCTTGATCAACTTGTTGAATCGGTTTGTTTAGCCCAGCAAAGGTAAGCTGTGCAGAGCCCTGATAAGCTGATCTGAGCTCGTTTGTCTTTATTTGACTGATTTATTTTTCCAGGTAAACCTGGACTGAGTCTCCTTCTCCAGGAAACTGATGAAAAATACCCCGTTCCAGGCTCTACATGCACATTTTCTACCCTTCGTGCCCTTTTTAACCTCAAACTCAAATGGAAGCTGCAGGTAAGAGGACCAAAACACCAAGTTTTGTTTAAGTTTTACACCAATTATTTTTAATTGGTAAAATTCCTCCTGAATTCAAAATGTATAGAATCCTAATCAAACACACCTTCTGTTGATCTTTAAATAAGAAAGTTGAATAAAATGCTTTGGTTTCTAGTAGTACTTCCATAAGTATTTATTCAGATTTAAAGTATAAATGATCTAAATGTGCCAGTTTTGTTTAAGTTTTACACCAAACATTTGGTAAAATTCCTCCTGAATTCAAAATGTATGGAATCCTAATGAACCACAGCTTCTGTTGATCTTTAAATAAGAAAGTTAAACAAAATGCTTTGGTTTCTAGTGGTACATCCATAAGTATTTATTCAGATTTAAAGTATAAATTATATAAATCTGCAACCAAAGCTTGAGCATGTTTATTTTTCCTAAATCATTAACAGTGTATTAAATATGTATTTAGTTAAACTGTATTCATAAACTCATTGACTGGCAGCCATTTTCAGAACAGAGTCCCATACTGCCAGAGTTTTTTTAGCATTTTGACTGATTTTTCAAGAGCCACAGAATAGTTTGTGCTATGACTATGTAAACACCGAACACGCCAAAAGAAAGAGTAGACTCTCTTCTTTCATCAGGAAATATTTTTTGTTTCTACCTTATTCCGTTCTTCCTGGACTTGTGTCTCACCGGCGACATGTTCTCTCATAGAACCGTTACCTTTTTCTTATTTGCCTACAGTCTATGCTCATCTCCCATCAAAAGTGGCACTGCCCCCTAGAGGGGCAATTTGTTACTACATACTCTGTCTAGAAGCCCATATTTACGGACAAGCTTTAGCAGATCGTCCCCCAGACACTCTCGCTGAAAAACATAAAAAACATCTATAGACGTCTTTGTTGCCAATGAGTTAATAGAGGAGCTCGGGTCATTTTTCCAGGCTTTATTTCTTTATTTCTTTACTCCCTGTGTGTTCAGAGGGCCCGCGGGGGCGGGGGGGGGGCAGCCTGAGGCGCTCCCCCCTGGACGTCATCATGAGTCAGATCCGGAGGAAGCGCTCGGCGTCGGACAGGAAGCCGCTGGGGCGTTTCCTGTCCTGGAGCTCCGACCGCACCGGGACCCCCGAGAGCGCAGAACCGGAGCCCAGAGAGGAGGGGGGGCAGGGCCCAGGTGAGCTCTGACCTCTGACCTCTTCACTTTAGCAACAAGCCACTTAACCCTGTAATGCCAAATGTATCATATCTGATTCATAAGGTTTCTGAAATGTTTTGCGTCTGACTCCTTTTGCATAATTTAATGGTAAAAACTTTGCTC